TTCTAGATATCCAGCAGTACTTGAAGGATACAGTGATACTAATTGGATATCAGATACAAAGGATTCTAAATCCACAAGTGGCTATGTCTTTACTATTGGAGGATGTGCCATATCTTGGAAATCTTCAAAACAAACTTGTATTGCCAGATCCACTATGGAATCTGAATTTATTGCTTTGGATAAAGCAGGTGAAGAAGCTGAGTGGCTTCGTAATTTCTTAGAAAATATTCCAAATTGGCCTAAACCGGTGCCCGCTATATATATACATTGTGATAGTCAATCAACAATTGGAAGGGCACAAAGTAATATGTACAACGGTAAGTCTCGACATATACGTCGACGACATAATACCGTTAGACAATTGCTCTTAAGTGGGATAATCTCAATAGATTATATCAGGTCAAAAGATAATTTAACGGATCCGTTTACAAAAGGTTTGACAAGAGAGCAAGTATATAGTTCATCGAGGGGAATGGGATTAAAGCCGAAAGCTAACGAGTCATCTTAATGGAAACCCAACCTAGTTGACTGGAGATCCCAAGATCTAGGTTCAAAGGGACAACAGAAATTCTGAATGGCTCACCAGAAGCACTGGGAAGATTCAATCTTCTACCCATTTCTATGATGAGACAGTGTTACCTACAGCGATGAGTAAGATAAGCTATGCTTTTAATGACTCTTATACCTTGAAAATTCAAGTTGGGTATGGTAGGATACTCTTAATAAGAAGTCACCTATATGAGTGTGAAGTGGGGCCGCTTCTATGAGAACTTCTAAGGCTAAGTTTTCTGGAACGCTCATGAAATACCAGGCGTTGTTCAGGGCCATATGAACACAACCGTGAGAACCGACTTTGTGTGGGAAGGAATTGTGTGTTTGCTATTGTCTTGGTTTACATCAACGGCTGAACAATTCAAGACATAATGTTCACTGGTTAGCCAGTAAATCCGATAGTAATATACTAGGGAAGGTTCAAGGCCAAAAGCTACCTATCCCGATGCAGTAACTTTCCAATAGTACTCTCTATAGTGTCTGTATCTTCTCCTTTTGTAATCTGCGCAAATTTTCATTCATGTGGGGGATTGTTGGAAACGGCATTAGAAAACGCAAACTTTGGAAGGATTTTTAAAAGATTCCGCTAAGAATTTTTTGCGAATCTATTGACGAGCGCGTTCCTCTCTGCGAGGAGATGAACGTGGTATATTTATTTTCTCAAATCCGTTTCCGGGTGAATGAGAAATTGGCTCCAAAGTAAGTGATTTATAAAGCCTAAATGGGTGTGAATAAAGTGGGAAATGCTTGTCCCACATCGAAAAAGTAGCAACGCAACCTTGAGTATATATATGTCTAGTATGGGATTTGGGTTTGGGCCCAAGGGCACCCAAGTTTTTAAGAGGGGGAGGACCTAGGCTAGCCTGGATCCGAACTAACTACCACACGCGCGCGCGCCGCCCGCCCGGTCCGGTCCGGGCTTGGGCGGGGTGGGGCTTAATTGTAAAATGGGTCTAACCTTTTTACACAAAGTTGGACTGGGCCTGTGTGGTTATTTTATTTACTGGACTTATTTAAGTGGGTTTGCGGGTGGAGCACGCTGGGCTGGGCTGCCGAAGTTTGCTTGCTAGGCTTAATCTGTTTTGGGTTTAAATTCAAATCAAAAACCATAAAACAGTTTTTGTTTGAACCAAGGGTTGCACCCTTTACAAATTAAAAACCACCAACAGATTTTTTAATTTTGATTGGTCAACAATGGTTGCACTCATTCGCACTATGGGTGCACCCATTCAGAATAGGCACCAACAAGCCTATAAATACCCATCATTGGGTTCATTTCAATTCACACCAATTCAGAAATCTTCTTCTCTTCTTCTGAATTTCTTCTTCTAATTCTTCTTTGTTCGGTTCAGCCACTGGTTTGGGTTCAACCTAAATTGGTTTGGATTGGGTTCGAACCTTGGTCTCCGAGTTAGGGTTCAATCCTGGTCTCCGAGTCTAAGTTCAACAGAGAGTACTATACCGAGCCGGTTCGCCTATTCCATTGGTTTGAAGTGCTACTACCAAAGGAAGAAAAGTCGTTGTATCCTGGGAGATAGACGCCGAAGAGTCCGTTAGCACCGTAGCGGGGCGTATCTGTCTTAAGGCTATAGAATTAAATTCTAACCTCGACTTTATCAGGTTCTTTTATAGTTTTATTTTCTTGATATTAAACTATATAAATATATATATAGATTATTATAATAAATATTATATTTACAAATAATATTTAAATAAATTATACTATAGTATATGATACATTATTTTATCAACACCTATGCGACACATATATCTCAGTTGATATATATATATATATATATATATATATATATATGAAGCCGCAGCAGAGAGCCCACCCAAATCCTCATCCGCACTGATCGAGAATTACTTGAATTGTTTGATTTCTTATGTTGTTTGTTTGCTTGATTGCTTGTGTTGTTTGTTACATGCAGTGGCTTGTGTTTATGTAGGTTGAAGGATAAGTTTTGGGCTTTTTTGTCTTTTCAAACTCCATTGAGTTTGTAACAAAATAGGTACAGAAAAAAATGGGGGCAAAAAATTAATTTCAATATAATAGTTAACGGCATCTTTCCAAAAGCTCAGACAAGGAGGCCAGTGTTATTCGACAATTAAAAGGAAATGCCAATATATGATGGCAAAATCTCAGTGAAGGTTGATGTAATTATCCCTTCTTTTATTGAGCAACTATTTAGTTCACTTTATGACAAAATTAAATATGTCCAGCTTATCCATTCTAACTCGTCACTTGTAAAGCTTTTAAGTTATCCAAATGTCCACAGTTGGTCGGCTCAAGTTTTAGAATTTTACTTTCCTTTAGCAACTGTCACGCGTCAACATGTTGTTGGAACGTAAAATTAGTCCATTTGTCTCTTTCTTATTTGTTCACGTCAATGTTGAAGTGGCGGCACCTAAGCCACCATTTCTATTTGTCAACAATATGTCATTTTAATTTTGTATTATTTAAAATATATATGCATACCTGAAGAGTCTTGTGGTTCAGTGATATCTCATTTATTTTTCAAAGTAGACGTATAATATAATCCAATTAATGACAGTAAAGATGTGATGGTGTTGTTCAAATTGTAAATAATCCAGCTTTAAAATAACACCTACCCTATATTCCTAGCTAGGTTCAAATCTCTTTCTCACAAACTTCTTACTCTTTAACCATTGTCGCATAAAAAAAAAATATAATAGTAATAATAATAACACTAAGTAATAGTTGCAATAAATAAAGCACCAACAAATAAGCATAATGTAAGTGTATATAAATCTCTTTCCCACTCACTTCTAACTCTCTAATCATTGTCACATAAATAAATAAATAATAATAATAAGAAGAATAAGAATGAGCATAAGCATAAGCAATAATTGCAATAAATATAACATCAAAAGTTAAGCATCATGTAATACATAGAATATGTTTAAAACATTCGTATCAATAAAACCATTGAAGTAATCAAAAGGTTAAAGTAAACCTCACGCTATCAAAGTCACACAATGACACATTAAATTGTCACAAACAACACGTAACAATTAATATACGGCACCAGACTAGAAAATTCACCTTTATTTTGTGTTTCTTGGAATTTATTACTTTATCCCAGTTCATTCAATTACCAAAAAAAATAAATAAATTCAGCTCAATCAAATGTTTTGACTGGGTTGGGTAGTGACTTGGACCCGCCCCAGCTCAATCAAATGTTTTGACTGGGTTGGGTAGTGACTTGGACCCGCCCCAGCTCAATCAAATGTTTTGACTGGGTTGGGTAGTGACTTGGACCTGCCCCGAGTTCGCCACCACGGTCCACGCTTAGACCGATTAAAGGAGTAAAGACCATGAATCCGTATGTATAGAAAATGACAAGACTTGTCTACTCTTGGCTGAATCTCCATCATGGGAGCAGGGGCTATCCAACGTTCCTGTTTGATTGATTTGTAACGCTTTCCTGCTTCCATCTTCATTCAGTCACTCCTCCTCATCGGTTCGAATTCTTTCACATAGATTCATTCTGGGGTTACGCGTCGTTCACTTGGTTAGTTATTAGGTTACCAGTAGGTTATTCCTATCCACTACTGACGTGGTCTATTACAAATGCACACAAAATATATAATTATAAAACTAAAAAAGTAATAAATAAAAATAATAATTTTTTTAAAATAAATTTACTCACCCTCTCTGATTTACTTATTCATTATTTTTTTGATTTTATAATTACAGACTATATATATATTTATATTTAGATAAATAGAGATGATCCACTTCCCATGAGTGAGCAAGTCTTGTTCGAAAATAAAATGAAATTATTACATATAAATGGTGTTAATGACCCAAATTTATCATTTAATAGAGTCAAATCTCATAATTTCGAAAAAATAAAACACAAAAAAACACTGTTTACTCTTACTAAGGTACCACTTTTAAGCATGCAAGTACAACTTTTTGTCATTACATATTTTGCACAAAAAAAAAAATGATACCCGATACACAAAAAATGGTATATATGTGAATAAAAGTGGTACCTCTGTACTCAAAATAAAAGTGGTACTTGATATACAAAAAGTGATATCTCTGCACAAAAAGTGATACCAATGTATCTAAAAATGGTATCTCAACGAGGATAAGTAATAATTTTTTATATCCAAATCAGTATTTTGGTTAAATTTATTTTTTTAAAATTATGATACTTTGATCCTATTAGATAATAAATATAAATCATAGCACTATTTATACGTAATAATTCCAAAGACAATTGATGGAAGGTTCCTTTCATCCCAATTGACTGGGTGCACTGCGGGTGCTTTACTTCGAAAGCGCGAAGGTGGGTCCTACCATAAAAAGTGGGGACCACCAGAAAGCATCGACCTAGTGCACCATCATCATCATTCATCTCACATGTATATATTTATTTACCTCACATATAGAGTGGAGTATATATACAGCATATATATATATATATTCTCTGTATAATTTATCAAGGAAAGCAAGGCGGGTACGGGTAGGGTTTTGTGGCGAGGGAGGGTTTAGAAATTAGGTCGAAGGGAAGAGAAGCATGGAGAAGCCAAATAAGAAGCGGGTGCTCCTGTTCCACTGCGTGGAGGCGGAAGAGCTTGCTCGCAAAGTCGCTTCTCAATCCGACCTCATTCAGCTCCAATCTATCAACTGGAGGTTCTCTCTTTCTCTATATATATGTATATATATGTACACATTCATTTATATATGTGAATCATTATACTTAAAAATAAATAGTCTTTCTAAACCCTCCCTCGCCACAAAACCCTACTCTGCTTTTATCAATGGTTTTTGAATTATTTTTAGATGATAATGTAGGTCATTCAATGTGCAAGTTAAATTATAGTAATGATTTAAGATATGGACAAATGAAGCGTGAATAGCAAAAGTTATAGGAAACCCATTGTACTATTAATTAATATATGATAAGTGGTATCCGTGTACATACAAATATAGAGAGTATTCGTATATTTATTCCTTACCTAAATTATTTACAACTCTACTCTGCTTTTATCAATTTAGGTATTTATTCATGCCACCTCCACTAAATCTTGACATGAGAATACATCTATATCTATATGTTTGTGCATGCATATTGCATTGCATCTTCATATTGGTGTTTTCCCATTGTATGTGTCAAACAATCATAGAGAATCTCATTAAAATTTTACATCAATAGGTATTGCAAAAAATTATATAATTGCTGCCCCTGGATGGTTGGTGGCTAATCATAGTTTTGTAAAAAGCGAGAACCAGGAAAAGTCTTGTTCCTCGTGTGGGCTGAGATGTAAGCCTCAACGTGTAAGACATAATTATTATAGGTTGTTGAACTTATCGAAATTTAACACATTCGCAAGTATAAGGAAGCAACAAATTAAACAACAATTGATAAGAATTCATCAAGTTTAAAACAAAAATCTGAGGCTGCATTTGGCTTCACTTTTAGAAAAGGAATAGTACAAGAACTCTGTCAAAAGCAATTGTTTTGAGAAGCTATTATGCACTAAACTAAAGTAATTTTAACTACAAAGAAACACCTTTTCTCAATGGCAGAGCACTTTTTCATGTTGTAAATGCGTTTGGCTACTATTGTCTGGCCTGCTTTAAATGCCAAAATTGATTATTCTAACTTGCAACACCTACAGAATGCATAATTTAAATAATCAAAATATACTTGTCAAAAAATAAATAAATAATAATAATCAGTTTTTACAATTTGTTGAATAAAGGTAACCTAGTATGTTATTGTTCATACCACAAATAAAGAAATAGTTCATGCCTCAAAAGTTTCACCTACAATTTTCTTGGCAGATGCATCACCATAGAATTTTTTTCCCTCTATATCTTCACTAAGGTACTTGTTATGCTAATCACTCATATAAAAATTCTACTTGCAAAGAACTAGAGGAATGGAGAAGTAAAAGAATGCCTTGGAATCACTGCCGAAATTTCCTAAAGCATCACATATCGTACTAACAATCATGAGAGAAACTTCAAAAGTTGTTGAAAGACTCTCTGATGTCCATTGCATTGCAAGACTATTTAGATATACAGCCAGCTGGTCTATCTGCTACTATTGTTAGTATTTTGACATCAAAATTAGAAACACCGAAACATTGATTGGTAAAACCTATAACACACATTTGGTTATGTTGCATTACAAAATTTGAAGAGGAATTTCAGAAGTTGTTGATAAATTCTATAAATAATCTCCATTGAGTTGGAAAGTGCACTATAATTTACTTTGATGGTCATCTCCTGCTTCTATCAGTACCAACTTCAATGCTATAATTTTTAGAACTTTGATTTGGTAGACTCATACTCACTAAAGGCACCTTTTTTTTTTCAAAAATTCTAAAGACACCAATTTGCGAAGGAGTATAACCTGTTTTGTATACCGAGGGACAACACTAAGCCCATGTCTATTCACAAAAAATGTAGATGAAATCACAAAAAACTTGCAAGTAGACATTATATGGTGCATGTTTTTTGCCAATGATATGGTGTTATTGGATTCTTCAAAAGAAAATGTAGCAATAAAATTGGAAATGTGGAGAAATGCATTAGAATCAAAGGGTCTAAAAATTACTAGGAGTTAAACTAAATATATGGAATGTAAATTTAATAAAGAGTCAAATATTGATAATATGGTGATAACACTTCAAAACCAAAAAACTATCTATAGTAATCATTTTTTATATCTAGGCTCAATATTACAAAAGGAAGAATTGGATCAGGTCGGACAAATTGGAGACATGCTAGTGGGGTATGCGATAAAAGAATAATAAATAAGGTAAAAAAAAATTTTAGAACAGTTATTAGACCAACTATTAGCTGAAATGAGTAGGAGTGACCATAAGAGATAGAGTCACTAATCAGAGTGTGAGGGAGAAATTATGAGTGACGCCTATTGGTGATAAAATAAGAGAAAGTAAACTTAGGTGGTATGAACATATAAAAGGAAGACCTAGAGATGCTCCAGCGAAAAGATGGGGGACTAATTTGTATTGAGAGGGTAAGAGACATAGGGAGATTGATGGCTTGTAATAGAAAGGAATAGAAAAGGAGAATTCATATGGCAGACCCATTCATATGGGATTAAGGAAAGGATGATGATGATGAAAACCCATAAAAAATGAAGGTAACCAAAGTTCCCTTTCAATCAGTAGATCACAATAGGAAATAAAATGCAGTATATTTTTCAAATGAACACATTAATTAAGCTTTGTTTCAGTGATCATTTTTACATCATTTTCTATTTGCATTTTTTTTTTTCCAAATATCTATTTGCATATTTTCTTCAGGAAACTTTTATATGATGAGTGAAAAAAATAAAAAATTGTTGTTTATTGTCAATGATGATTGTACTGGTGGAGAGGATTAATGATAAATGCATGTATCAGGAGCTTTGATGATGGATTTCCAAACCTTTTCATAAACAATGCACAAGATATCCGAGGCCAGCACGTAGCCTTTCTAGCATCTTTCAGCTCCCCTGGAGTCATCTTTGAACAGCTTTCTGTCATATTCGCGCTTCCACGGCTTTTTGTTGCTTCTTTCACATTGGTATTACCTTTTTTTCCAACCGGTTCCTTTGAAAGAATGGAAGAGGAAGGGGATGTGGCAACTGCATTTACAATGGCAAGAATTCTGTCAAATATTCCCATATCAAGGGGTGGTCCAACTAGTTTAGTCATCTATGACATACATGCCTTGCAGGTTGATTTCGCTTACACTGGAACCATTCTCTTATGCATTTTGATACCGGTTGCTATTGTTTTCTTTGTTTGGTAGGATCTTTTCCGTAAACTATGCATAGATGTTGGTACCGTTGGTACTATGGTTGGCCTTTGTTCCCAATGTTATAATATTACTGTTTAGTGCAATCCTTGTGTGGGACTCTAATCCCGTGTCTGATTGGGCTTGACAGAATTTAAAGTGGAAAATTAAATGCATTTAGCAGAACAATGTAATTATGGTGAGTGCAAGTGTGAAAGCATGGAAACCATGATTTTAGAACACATCATAGGCTGGAGTGAATATGTATGTGATTTTGCTATCATGAATGGCTATATTACATTCTTTTAACTGTATGCATGTATCTATTTGGAAAACTGGATGTGTCTTGATAGTTTTCATGTGTGTGTCCGCTGTATGTTTCCTTCTATCTTAAAACTTTATTTAACATTTGAGAAACATTATGAGGTGTTTGTACTGCGTCAAAATCAACAATTTTAATTTTCTTGTTATGACCCAAGTTCACTCATGATGTCATGCATGGAGATTGTTGAACAATTTTAATCCATTTTTCCAATTCAAAGATTTGGAGGCGAACAGTAGCTCGTGCACGTTTGATTGTCCCAAAATTTTCTGTTTAATTGGACGTGCATAAATTGGTCCTTGCATACATATTTTTAAAGTTATCTTCCTATAATCTTTTAGTGTTATCTTAATTTAAGCTAAAAGCATTTGATCTTGTTTAATTGAGGTGCTAATCTTGTAATATCTGTTCATATGTACGTACAAGCTGTATTTCCTGCCTTGTCTTCTCATTCAATCCATTTTATCAAAAAGCAAAATTATTGATTCATTTTTTCTTTTGAGAAACATTCCCTGTTGCTGTAATATGGTAAAGCTGATTGCATTCTCTTTTCCCATCTCTACTTTTGTCTTGAGTAACTGTGAGGCAACCTGAGCTCTTTCTCTAATTTTCTTCTTCTTCTTCTTTTTTCCTTTCATTTTTGCAGGAAAGATTTTATTTTGGGGACCATGTTTTGCCTTGTTTCGAAACTGGGATTCCTCTGTTGAAGCAACGTCTTCACCAGCTACCTGATGCTGATAAAGTGAGTATTTCAGCATTGCTTAACAATGTTGTTGCTTCTTCAAGGGTTCCATTGATTTTTCTAGCATATCTGGAAGTTGTTTGCCTGCTGGCCGTTTAAATTACCGTCTTGTTCAGTTTCTCTGATGTAATAGCTATTATCTTTCAGATTGTTGTTGCATTTCCTGACGATGGAGCTTGGAAGCGATTCCACAAGCAATTAGATCATTTTCCCACGGTTAGTTAAAATTCTTGCGTAACACTTTCAAATTTTCTTTTTAATCTATTCTCTTGCAATATCTTGGGTATTTGGTATTGTCCAATTGCAGGTGGTTTGCGCAAAGGTTCGTGAAGGTGATAAGAGAATAGTCCGTCTAAAAGAGGGTGATCCTGCTGGTTGTCATGTAGTCATAGTTGATGATTTGGTGCAATCCGGAGGTACCCTAATTGAGTGCCAGGTATTTTATATTCAGTGAACACTTTCTGGTGTTATTCTTCTAATATTGGATAAAGTTTGATGAATTTCTGAATTATACCGTATTATACCCATATAATTCAAGAAAATGTCAATGTATGCCTCCTTTTCTGTTTAAAGTTCTTTTTTCTTCAAACATGCATTACTTATAACCCTCCCAAATATTCTGTTCCTCTCCCCCTTTTTGTTAGATTTCTTGCTTACTTCGTGTAGGAAACCCTGCACAGAGAATCATTCCTGCTATAAAAGAATTTTTTTTTCTCTCAAAAACAAACCCCCCCTCCCAAAAAAGGAATTGTGCCAAGGGACTTACCCACTTGAGCCAACCCCTTGGGGTTAATATGATTATGTTTTATGGTTGCCGAGGTAAACTTTTTCATGTGGTGCTATTGTTTTAGAAAACAAAAGGTTGCTTCCACAACAACTGGAATTTTACATGTAAAATGATAAATATGCCCTTATAAGTTAAGTCCACCACAAGAAATCTTGCTTCCTTGACTCCAAGCAGCATTTCGTACCCAAGTCAATGTTACATGCTAGAAAGGGAAAAAAAGATTAACATTGAATCCAAAGCTTTGTACCACAAATTGAACGGTGGTTGGCTATCCCACCCATCTCCTACCCAATATTTGATCCCTCTCTCGTCTTGCCGCACATCCATCTCAACATTCGCATTTCTGCCACACTTACTTTATAGCATATATTATTTCCTAATTGTCCAACACTCTATCCCATAAAGTATAACTATTCTAATAGTTGTTCTATAGAACTTCTCTTTCAATCTTAACGGGATACGTCGATCACATTTAGCGCCTCATGCCTTGATTCTATGATTAACATCATCTCTCCAATTTCTCTTTCATTATGGATAATTGAACCAAAATAATGAAATTTTTCTAATTTTTTGTATCTGTTGATCCTCAATTTTCACTACATCCTCTTTTATATTTCTCGTTTTACTTAAGTTACACTCCAGATATTCAATTTTATTTCTGCCTATCCTGAAACCTTCCAATTCTAGAACTTCTTTGAAATCTCCAATTTGACATTGACTCCTCTAGTCTCATCAATTAGAACAATATCATAGCAAATAAATTAACCTTTATTGGCTGCTAATATTTTTAGATCGAAAGAGGAAGCGTTAAGGATAAAATTAGAAATCAACACAGTCATGAGTTGGTTGAACTTTGAAGTAGTAACAATTGGAGGTAAAATGAGAGAAAATTGGTTAAGATGGTTTGACATGTGCATGGAACACCTTTAAGTGCCCTAGTTAGGAAGGGTGACATGGTCCATATTGAGGGTAATGTTAGGGGAAAAGGAAGACTAAAAGTAATGTAAGTAGATTTAGTAAGAAGGATATGATAACATGTGGTTTGAGCAAGGCTATGGCCTTAGATAGAGCGGAATGGAAGAATATGATTCATGTAGCTGACTCCAATTAATTGGCAAAAGGCTTTGTTTCTTCTTCTTCTTGTTGTTGATCAAAGGGTTTATCCAGTCTAACAAAGAAATCATCATTGTTGAAAGAAACAAAAGGAGGGAAAGAAACTATCACTGTAAATGTAACAATCACAATAGAGAGAGAGGAAAAAGATTGTAGAAACAAGAAAAAATCACTTCAAATATAGATAGATAGAATCACGATGAGAAACTCATCAAAGAGCTGTAGCTTAAGATGAACCTCTTCAGCTAAAAACTAGAATTACCGAACCTCCATCACCATAAAAACTTGCAGTCTTTTGGGGAAGATACGTGGGTTTTCTCCATTTTTACCCGCCACACACTCTCTATGTGTGTGTGTGTATTCCTTTATGGACTTTTTAACTTTTGAGGTCAAAATTTTCCTTTTATTTTATAGCCTGGAGGTTGCTGTGTAAGCAACCTTTTGTGCTTTGGCAATAGTGTCAACCTTTTTTTTTCTCAAATTACTCGTCTTTGGACCCTAAATACATTTTTATTTTTATTTTTGGTATGTAAGCAACACACACAACACTCCCCCATGTCCCCATGTGGGGATTGAATCGCTCACCTCTCCTTTGGGAAAGAGAGCTCAGTGTGCTAACGGCCCGGTGGGAGCCTAAAGACATATTAGTCACTGAACATGTTATTTCAAATAAATTTTGATGTAATTCTCGACTAATGAGCTGGTCAAAAGAAATGCTTGAGCTAATGTAGAGGGCCAAATCATATGTTCAGTGGTGGCTTTATTTTTTAATTTTCTCACTTTTTTCTTCTTTTTTCCCCCCTATTTGCCATTTATTCTTGTCTACACGAAATCTCAATAAAAATTCTGGTTATCAGCCTTCTCTTCAGTGCATACATACCTAACGATCTTCCTTGCCATGCCAATCATCCACTCCCGCATCCCTAATATCAAAATTTTCTTAACGGTATGTTGTTCATTGACTACCAAACATTCTAAAGTATTGTTTTGCTTAAAACTATGGTGATAAATTTAAAACTCATGCAGCTACTAACAAAAAATAATAATAATAATAATCCCAGGAGAAATTTAAAAAGAAAAAGTATAGTATCTAACTGGAAGCACAAAACATCAACTCAAGCAATCAATATAATGCTTGTTAAAGAAAAACATTATGCATGTGATGTTACTCCAGGAGTTTCAGGTTGTTTATGGTTCATGAGATTTGACAAATTGTACCAATAAAAAAGTGCACAAAATTAACTCGGTTTATATTCACTAAACCAAATTTGTGCCTAAATTGGAAGTTTCACTATAATTTGTCATGGTGGGTGTAACTGGGTCAAATCAATAAGGAGTGGTAAAAAAAAAATAGCAAAAAACAGTGAATTAACAAAAAATAGAAAAATAAAAAAATTAGCCATTTAGATGGAAAAGTATAAACTAACATTAAGAAAATTCCGAAGGTGGGTTGTAGTGTTCATAGTCTGGAAATAATATGAAATTGTATTTTGCTATGTTATCCAGACTCGGGTAAGTATCAGGTGTGGGTGTGTATCTAAGCGTTAGACCTACTCATACCATAAATCTTAAGATACGGGGGGATATGTGTCCAAAAGTTGGATATGGGCATATAGACACGTAATATGCATTTAAATACATTACATGTTATTGTTATAATGGTAATGCTTAATTTTGTTGTTTTATATAAGAATATACTCAATTATTACTTAAATTAAATGGGATGAAGGGTTTCCATCTATCTCATGGATTGGAAACTCATGTCTGTAATAAAATTTGAGATTTTCCTTCTTCAATCATGCCATGTGAAGGATCCCCATACCCATGTCATGTTGACACGGGTACATGAAGGGATATGGGAGAGTCCATGTAACACAGGTATTTTGGAATCTACAAATGTTTTCGCAATCAGTTTTTTTTTTTTTTTGATTATTATTTGTATTTATTTATGGTTTTGACATTTAATAATTACCAACTAATGCATGCATTAAACTCAAAACTCCATCACAAGGTGGAGTTCATAAATTTTTCATTTATTTGTTATGAAACTAATTTTTTTTTTTCCCGTTATTTCTATTGCCTGTTTGGTTCTACCAGAAAGTTTTGGCAGCTCATGGTGCAGCCAAGGTGAGTGCTTATGTGACTCATGGTGTGTTTCCTAAGCGCTCATGGGAGAGGTTTGTTCACAAGAATGATGGTAAATTCCTGCATGCTGTGGTTTATTTCCTTCTAATTTTTCATTCTTCGGATTCTGATCGCTATTAATATTTTCTATTTAGGAGCCTTAGAGAAGGCATTTTCCTACTTCTGGATCACGGACTCATGCCCTCTTACTGTAAAAGCCATTGCAGATAAAGCTCCTTTTGAAGTTTTGAGTCTTGCGGGATCAATTGCTGATGCTCTTCAAATATAAAGTGTTTCGTTGAGGTTTTAGTTATAGTGAGAAGGAATGCATATGACAGCCTTGGTGTGGAGAGGCAAGTTTGCTATATTTTGGTTGGAAATTTATAATTCAAAAAGCCTTCTTCCCTGGTTGATCTATAAAAAGAACTAAATATGGGGTTCGCTATGAGTTGGTGATTTTCTATTTGTATTAAAATACTACTATTCCAGCGTTGCATTTCCATGACATTCATTTTCAAAGCTTTTGTCCTTCCACCACAAGGAGGACGTCTCCAATTAAAACATCATCTCATACGCATTAAGAAATTCGTGCCATTTAATCTTATTTTTGAACTCAAATAAACTCTGATGGAAATTCACTTTGAGCCAAGTTGTTTGGTAGAGAGTGGTATACGGATGGTGTTCCGTTTAATGAATGAATATGGTGAGCTTCTGTGCCATTTCTGATGCCTTGTTTTCCTTTTTCGGTTTGGTGAAAATTAGGAGTTTATATTATTTTTAGACATCCAAGAAAGTGGGGGCAGGGTATGGCATGGATGTCTTGTTAAATGGGTTTATACGATTATTATTATTATTATTCTTCTGACGACATTATTAGTTGATATTATTATTATTCTTGTGAAGAAACATTGACACGAAAATGATGCAATTATTGCACGACACGTGTAATGCCTTTAATAAATAGGTCAAGAATTGACACAACATAAAACGATGAGACAATACCCATATAAATCATTTTTGACATGAATAAGATGCTTATCTGACTTGTTTTATTAAATGGATAATTTTTAACATGAATAAAATATGTTTATTTGACACGTTTAGTTATATAAGTTATAAAGGAATTGGCGGTTGAAACACAAACAAGATTTATTTATCATGATGTTGATTAAATACGAATACTGACTTATTTAATTACCGTGTTAACTCAATTACGATCTGAACCAGATTAAGTCAAATTAAAATTCACTTATTTCGTATTGTCATTAGATCTGCAATCCATTTCAAGTGGCCCATTGCATGTCAAATTAGCTTGTCCCACCCCAAAATAATTAGCCCTTGCAGCAATCAACTTGATTGATTGAAGATTTCATTCATATACCGTTTATATATACTTTTTTAAGTAAAAAAAAATTAAATATCATTATGCATTCAACTGTTAATTTAGACGTAACCATTTGATTATAGCATGAATTTTGAATGCGGTTCAATTCTTGAATTCCGTAGAAGCGAACACATTGATCGCGGAACTTTCTGGCACCATCTTTTACTCGCATTGCTATTATATGTGCTCATGATATATATAGAGAGAGAGAATAATTTATACACCTATACAACCATATACCAAATACACAATTTCCATAGGTCCATGGCAACAACGCTGACCATATACGAGACAAATATGCATGGTCCCATTCGTCTCTATTCTATACATTTTTTAAAACATCCCCATCCCATAGGAATGTACCTCTGAAAGACAACTATAAAGCAAAATCCATAGCAGATAATAACTGAAAGAAAGACAAGCATAAAGCAAAATCTAAAGTGAGAGAGGTCATGGGTAAAGTGGTGAGCAGCAACACATTTGTTAGCAGAGAGACTTCACTTGTCAGCTGTATGCCTCACCTTATTTCTCATCCCTTTGTTAGAATATCAACTGTTTGCTCTACCATATGAACAAAATGCTCCCTGCCTCTTTCCTTTTGAAACTTTCTTGTGTAGTAGTAGTAGTAGTAGTAATAAGCACTATGGAGTATCCATCACCCAAATGCGGACACTGCCAATAATTGAAGCGACCATGTGCGAGTTCATGGTTCTCATTTATGTTTATATACATGCATATGCAGAAGTTAGCACTACTTACAGCCACCAGTGTCTTGCAGTCGAGAGAAAGCTAGTTCCAATGCATATTTATTTATTTATTTATTCTCTGGCTTCTCATCCAGATAACAACCCTTTGGGCTTTCGAGTGAATCCCCAGAGTAAGACCCATCTGGCTGACGAATACAGATGTTCAAAATGCTGGAGGGGAGTAACTCCTGGATGATCCAAAAGTGCCACCACAAAAAATCAGCAAATGATTTGATATAGTTAGCATTTGCACAACTTGATAATCTTCTACAACAAATATACACAGCTCTTCTAAATCAGGTTCCAGTTTAATAACCGCGTGTAATTTTAAGGTTTAAGTAAGAAATATACTTCTGAAGTTAAAATTACCCGATCACAGAAGAAAAAAGGCAAAGTTACTGGCTTATGCTCTGGAAAGGATGAATAGACCTCACTAATTTAATTAGCTTTACCTGATTACCATTCTCTTGGCCCTCCGACTGGAAGAGAATAGGGCGACACCGCTTATCTTCATTCATTAGGCTTGAATTCTGGAAGTGTGCTACAAGAGCTGCCTTGCCCTGGATTCGTGCATATGCCAAGGAAGCAACTTTTTCGCTATTAAACTTTTCCCACTTCTTTCCATTGAGTGCCTGCAGAAGTTTTGTAGGATAAGTATTTCCAAAACTTTAAAAAACTTGTAATGTTTCACTTTTGCAGATGAAAATTAAGATACATCATTGCTAGTCTGACATGATAATGCATCGAACCTCCTCTTCAGCAACAGCAAACCAGCACAGACAGAATTAACAGGAACAGTTGCATAGACACACAAACTTAAATTTTGATTTTTTCCATAGGTTATTTTAGAGAAGAAAAGGATAAGAAAGAGAAGATAATCCAAGACATTGAAGATGGATAACTTCCATGAACTTAACAAAGCACAAAAAAAAGAACCTGATAGAAGGAGATAATGTGTGAAGGAGACACCATATTGATGAAGGCATAACCCACGTTGCATTTGTTCTACAACCAAAGAAAGAAATAACCATCAGCTGCGATTCAACATGAGTGAATTCAAGTTTAATATATCCAAGATCTCCAATACAATTACCTTAAAATCAATTGGCAGATAGAGAAAATCATAAGTACCCCTATGATTTTCATCAATAGCTGCCAGCAACATCTTTGAAGTGTACCTAAAAGGAAGAATCCCCCACAAAAAATAAAAATAAAATCAAAACCAAAAAACCATTGAGATGATCAGAAATCTGACTTCTAATAATAATAGTAATAACAGGCCATTCTTACTTATTGGGGATGTTTTTAATCATTAAAGTAGTCCTAGTATCTTCTCCGCAGATGATCTTGTCCAAATCAAGCTGATATTGCTTGCCGTCTATCTTGTTGATACTGTACTCAACACGCCGACTTCGACCACGCTCAGCCAACCCCTCATTGCTGGTTGCTCCAATTCCTTGAAACGAACCATTCCCAAAAAGCATAGGACCATTCCTCAGCAATGGCATCATTCTGGAACTCGGTGAACCACTTTCAGACATGTTTCCTGGAAGAGCAACGCCAACACTCATAGCTGCACGAGCACCCATATTAATCATATAACCTCCGCTGTTGCAGCTTAAATTCGTACTCCCAAAAGCAACTGGACTCATGAAGGATGTATCTGGTGACTCTGGGAAATAACCAAAATGCCTGTCAAGAGGGACACCAGAGGGAGCAGATCCCACATGATGGTGGTGTGAACCAAGGAATGACCCGTGTCGATTGGAGTATGGATAACCTTGTCTCTGTCCAGTGGTGGAAGCAAATGGATGCCCCAATGATGATGGCGGCCAAGCAGAAGAATTGACCTTCTCAGAGTAAGGAGTCGGACTCCCCCAAAGAAACTGAGGTCCAGACAATGTCCCAATACCAGATGAATTAGAATTTGATTCACCAAATGAAGATACAGGTCCAGGACTTGCACCCAGTTTCTGCTCAGGAAGGGACTGGGAATGCTCAATAGCAGCTCCTTGTGCTGATTTCGCATTACCAATTACCTGGTTCACATGGCTGACCCGTGCTTGTTCTTTACCAATTGGTGCAATCTTCAAAGAGTTTGAAACATTAGGTGGTAGAATAGAAGCAAGTCCAGACAAATTGTTATTTTTCATTGGACTGAGAGTTCCCAAACCCGGTGACTGACTAAAACCTTGCAGAGTATTGTTTTCAACTGGGCTGCTAAAATGTGGCCAGGTACCTGTCATGATTGTGCCATTGGTCTCAGCTTGTAACAGAACATGCATATGCAACAACAACAGGAGCATTGAATCACTCAACAATGCATAAATTAATTTAAACTCTCTTACCAATGCAAATATAGAGATATTTACCTGGAGGAGAGTTGGTAAGCGGTGAGCTTATTTGATGTCGAAAAATTAGAGCTTCATCTTGTTCCAGCTCTTGACTCAATTGCTGCATCAAGCTGGAAAAAGAAGGGACAAACAAATTCAATCCTTTTTTTATTATTATTAAACTTATAAATTACTTATGATGAATCAATCACACAACTAAAATATGATCCCACACTAATTAACACGCTGCAACCAAAAGGCAATAGAAATTGATAGTGGTTTTAACAAAAATACAAGGGACAAAAAGCTGCAGTGTTAATACTAAAAGCACATAACATTTTACTGATTCAATGAATATAAGACGACATGTATAGAAAGCCTACAAGTGTTAGAGTTACAAGGGACAAAATGAGCAGCATTAGGGGGGTGGGGACTTGAGAACTCACTAAAAACACATAACATTCTGCAAAAGATTCCATTAAAATAAGACAGCATACAAAAAGCATACAAGTGTTGACTAATAAATGTGCTGGTGAAAGATAAACTATTTAAATTACCCCCTTAGAGAGAGAGAGGGAGCCTATTTAAATTACCCCCTTAGAGAGAGAGAAAGAAGCTACGCAAAGCCCATCAGAAGCACTTTAATAATATTTCTTTTCCGTTAATTCATCTATCCTTTCCTAATCATACTTGCAACCTTACATACAAAACTTTATCTGAACTGCACTTTTAAGTAGTGCTTAAAGTGCATTTGTTAGATGCAGAACTGAATTTCAAAGTTAGAAAGCGTACCTCTTCATGGTAGGAAGAAACAAAAATAAAATAACAGGAGTTCTATTAATTCCACATGTATTAGTGGAATTTATTTCTTGACAAAAAAATCATGCCCCTAGGTTAGCTCTATAAACATGTGACCAGAACTTGACTATTCAACGTAACAAAGCCTTTTCCCCAACTACTTGGAGTCAGCTACAGGGCGGAGCCAGGATTTTAATTCAAAGGGGGCACAGTGTAAAAAAAAAAATTATAATTTAAATAAGAAGAAAAAAAAAATTACATACTATATACATCAGTCTTAAGTGCAAAAAGAAGAATGTTAAGAAGTAGGGGGCCAAAAAAAATTAAGAAGAAGAAGAAAAAGGGAAGAAAATGAGAAATTTGAAAGGAAAAAAAATTAGAATTTAACTTTTTTTTTTAAGGAAATAAAATGAATATTAAGAGCAAAAGAAAAAGGAAAGAAAAATTTAGAAGACAATTTTAGAAATTTAAAATTTTAGAGGGGCATTATATAGAAATTTTCTTATAAATGTACAAATTAAAATAAAAATTACTATATTGTATGGTAGGCGGGGCCAGGCCAGGAGGGGCATGTGCCCCCTCTGGACACGCACTGGCTCCACCCCATATTTTTTCCATTCCGCTCAAACCCCAGGCCATTGCCCCAGTCAAACAACATGTTACCATATCTTTCCTTGCTAACTCTACCAACGTTAACTCTGGTTTTTCCCTTCCCCTAGCATTACGCCCAATGTGAACCATGTCACTCATCCTAAATGGCACACTCGGTGGTCTTATTTGTACATGATTCTTATGAGCCACCAGAACTTGACTACTCGAGAATTTAAAACAGTGAAAATCCAAGTTCCAGACAAATTTGCTACAGGATTCTTATGAATCATCCTTTCAGAGCTACAATGTAGTTCCACACTTCCACCAGAGTTGAATGTGCTTGTGATCTAAGAACATTACATCTTTAAAATTTAAGGAGAAAAGTTGGCGTCAATTGCTATTACTAATAGATTATTTTTTGAAATAAAACTGAGAGAGAGAAAGCAGTTTATATCAAAGCATGTAATTTTCAAAAAAGAAAGAAAGAAACAGAAGTTGAAAGAAAGCAAGACCCTCTGTCAATGGGAGTGCCCAAGTTGGAACAGCCACAACACAAACAAAATGAACACTACATCAGTACGTACTTTCGACGGGCTCCACCGGGCCGGCTAGGTTCAAGCTTTATTCGTTTCCCAGCTATGTCACTCCTATTCAAAGCTTTGAGAGCTGCCTCTGCAGCTCTAACATCATAAAACTCGATGAATTTATGATGTCGTTTGTGTGGTGTTTCCCTGATCTGTATTTTTTACAGATAGATGTCCACAAGTCATATAAGTTATAATAATGTTGACAAATGCAAATATTACAAAATTGACTAGGAAAGGAAAATGAGTATGAAGCGAAAGAAAACCTGTACCTCTTTGACCTCCCCATATGCCCCAAATATTTGGCGAAGGTCATCATTCGATACTGATGCGTCTAAATTGAACACTACAAGAGTTCCTTGGTTAATATCCTTTTCTGAAGGGTTATCCTGAAAATAGCTTGGAACATAATACAAAAGGCAGATGTTAGAGTAATCAACAACGTCAAACAGTGTCACACAAGCAGAAATCTTAGTACAAACCTTAGGGATTGAAAAGTGTATATCAAGTTTTCTTCGTCTCAAGGGCTTATTTTGTAATGCACGCATTGCAGTTCGAGCAGCTCGGATATCATAGTAAGATATCATCACAAAGCCCCTATGCTTGCATGCAGTATAAAGAGTTCTGATGTCCCCATATTGCTACAATTAAGAAGAATCCCACAATCAATTGACATTTTTACTTCAATACTAAAGAAATAGAAATATGAAACTGTTTGCCAGAAATATAAATAAAAAACTTGTATTGGGAAACAACACTGTTAAAGCCCTGATCATGTGAAAGTTGTGTGGTTTTAATCAATCATCACAAATGATTATACCTTGAACCATCTGATTTATCAAAAAGGCAATTAACTGAAACTACGGACTAGTGAGATGTCTGTGGCTGAGGTACTAAATATTAATACCAGCAGCACCTAAAATATAAAATTCAACAATGACATATATTCCTTATTCGAAACCTCAGCAAATGACCAGTTTTGCAAGTGTGAAAGCCAGTAATTTTGCCAGTTACGGGACCAAGAAGTATTGTTAAAAGTTATATTAGCATTCGATAGACAAACAGAAAACAGAATTGGTCACTAAGAAAATATTATCATGCACAGTTTGGAACTACTTGCATATTGCATATTGTATATATTAATTCCATTCCATAAGTTTGGAAAGTTTAAAAAAATAAAAAAATTACATCCATTTTTTTTTTTTTTTTTTTATAATTTAATTCATACAGTTTAGATTGTGCAAGGAATTATAGGAACAATATCCAGGTTTGATATCCAGGCTGAGTCACTCTTAAAACTTTAACATCTATCACAACAATGCAATCTTGCTGCATTTCAACATAAATAATTTTTCAAAGAATGCACTGCTTCACAAACAGTAACCTAGTCAAGTATATCAAGTGACCAAGATAAATTATTAGCAAGCAAACAGAAACCTTGGCAAGGCTATTAAGTAGAACAACTGAGGCACAGACAGGTGACGGATGGTAGCAGATCCAACAAAATGGAATTTGGCATCAAGCAAATACCTCAAAGAGAGATCTTAGCTCTGAGTCTTCTACATTACTATTGATATTCCGAACAAATAATGTCCTCGAAGGATGTTCTCCATATGGATGTTCTCCAACAACTGTTCCCGTGCCATTTGTAATACCATAAACACCAATTCCATTTCCAGCAACACTGTCAGATATACTTAACTTTGATATACAAAAGCTTTGGCTCTCTTGGGGTTCAAAATCCAATTCCATCCCGCCTCCACTGCCAAAGAGATCATCTTCCAAATCTTCCAGTTGTGTAGGCAACCCAGTTAGGTCAAAATCATCCATTATGCCAGCTAACAGCTCGTTTTCATCCCCAGGAAGCATACTTCCAATCACATTTAGCTCAATATCTTCAAGCGGATCCTTACTGTCTTCTTTTTGTAGAATTTTATTTAAGTTAGGCAAGCCATCATCAATAGACAGACCACAATGCTTCGAGTCAGTAAAGTTTACTGCATGTTAGCCAAAACAAGTCTCAGCAATCATTCCAAGAGACAGGGACCAACAACATGTATTAAAAGAAGCCACACATACACTTCTCGTGGGGAAGGACAGGCAATGAGCTAGAAAACAAGCTTGCATCAGTTGATGCATGATATGCATCAGTTCCAAGTGGGATCCTCCATGGACTTCCCACTTCTCTATAAACATTAGCTGATGGTATTATAGATGGACCTAAACAAATACAAACAAGTATCATGTGAAGCATATGCTTAAAAGCATGTATTCCCTCCGTCCCATATTAATTGTCCAATCTATCCATTTTTAGCTGTCCCACAATAGTTGTCCAATTTCAAAAATCAATGTACTATATTTCCTAACCTTCCCAATTTACCCTTATTGCATTGAAAGGATAAAAGTCAAAAATAACATCACTGTGGACCACACCAATTCAAAAAAGAGGGTAAATTTGGAAATTCATTCATGCCAATGCAATAAAAACTTACTAAAAGTCAATCTCTTAAAAAGGTTAGAATTTTAAAAGTGGACATCTAAAGTGGGACAGAGGGAGTATATATATATCACGACAACATTATGTATCTAAGCTATTCATTAGTTGAAGAAAGAAAAAAGGCACCTTCTGAATCACCTAAAACAGAATTATTTGAATGCTGCTCCATTTAACAACGTTCTGCAAACACGAGATAAGTGAAAGAAAGATGTAGTTAAATTATCAAAAAATATTCAAATCCCTTGAAGTTTGTTAAGGTTAGAACGAGACGGACATGCTACAAGAGGTATTAGATAAGTGAACATGGAGGGTTAAGCAGCACTTAGTATGGAACAATCAAAATTTAACAATTACAACACATTTCAAGTTATTCCATTTCCATCCATACAAGAAAGATAATTACCCCATTCAACAATACAAATTGCACAAAATCAACAAAAAAGATGACAGATGAAAGGTTTCTAAATAGATTGCTTATACATATTAAATTATTAATTATCACACAGTAGTAATATTACTCATTTATGCTACAGTAAATTGTCAAATAAAGAATTTGAAATGGAAATATTGTAGTAGAGAGCCAAATTCCTAAAAGTTTACTCTACAAATAGGAATGTGGGATTCTAGATGAAATAAAGATGAAGCAATAATGTGGAAGGAAAAAAGAAAAGATTCCATGTGCCGCAAAGGGCACGCAGGAGATGTTCGGGTTTGTTTTCGCTACAAAGAGCAATATGCAGCTTTATTTGGTAGAGACTATATGTTCAGTAAGGCAGAAAGAAGTTAAACTATATTGGGAAAACACAGTGTTAGCATTTTTGAATCATGTTTTATGCAAATTCCTACTTAAAACTTCAGTTCAAATGCATGTCAAATGTCTTGAATAGTTCGCCGACAACCACAAGAAAATGATGGAGATGAAGATCAGCAAACAACACGCCACAAACCTCCCCCAGACCACAAAAATAGGTTAAAGGTAAATCAGACCATAGAAACCATGTATTAGCTATATTTGATCTTTAATAAATGTCTCAAAATTATGTTTTAAACTTGTTTTTCAAAATTCAGATTTTTATCCTAAGTTTCTTAAGTTCACAAAAGAGTTTTTAAATTGGGGATGTTTACATAATCAGAAGAACTCGATCGAGACATTGATTGATACAGAAATTCCCAGAAAATTTATGTTAGAGTTCAGCAAGTGTCGATTAAATGTCCGATGACCGATAGCCAAAGTCGCTCGATTTAAGGGTCAACTGATCGACATGTGAGGAATTGTATTTTTGAAAACTCTCTCAAATCAAAATTTTAAAAGGATTTCTTTCCATATTCTACACAAGACTCCTACACTGGTTATAAATATGGGATTATAGTCAGTTTAGAGGGTCTCACATAGTGCTTTCAATTTCTTTACATATTATTGAGAAATTTTATATTTTTAGAGAAAGTTTTAAAATTTGATCTAGAGTTTTTCTAATATTATATTATTATACATGATTGAGAAAATCAAAGCAAGGAGGAAAGTTGAAACCTCAATGGTTCATAAATAACAAGTTGAACGGACGTTGCTAGTCGTTGAGATCAAAAGTCCAAGGAGAAACAGATTGTGTGTGGAGCACTCTGTTGAAGTAAGTCCTGTGGTTTTTCCCTTTCTAGAATTTTCCACAAAGATATTGTGTATTTGCTTTATTTTTATATATGCCCTAAATGTTTATGTGATTGCTATTGGGACAAAAATTCAAAAAAAAAAACTGAATTTTATATATAAGACCTATTAACCCCCTCCAGGTCTAATTAGCCATACATAGTCTAATCTATCATAGCCTTGAGTAAAGATCTCAATTCACAAATGGTACCAGAGCATAACTACTAACTATTGTAGATTCCACACACAATAATATTATCCATTACAGACCAATTATCTGAGTCACTTTAAATATATACTTTGAAAATCCACATGCGATGCACGTAATAAGAAATGAATTGTAAAACGTTTTAAAAGATTACCTTATATAACAATTTATCCAAAGTGATAGAGAAATTATATTTTATTAGCATGCAAATGAACAACAATTATGATTCATCATGTCAACATTGATCAACATTGTTAAAACCATCCTAAACTTTTAATTTCTCATCATATGCATTGAATGTGCATTTTGCTAGTAAAACTTAAATTTGTGAAGGTGACAAAAGAATATAGTTTTAATAGGAACATAATGTAAGAAAATACGATATAAAATGAACCAAATACTTGTGCAGGAGAAGAAGAAAGAGCCTTTGAAAATTAAAATTCTTGTTCAGGGAGGGAGTAAAGAGTTTTAGAATAAATTGAATAGTAGTTTGTACGTACTTTTGGATGGATAATTTACACATTGACATGCCTATTCTGAATTTACACCATTTGGGAAAAGTTGTGTCCAACACAAAAGGATGCACCAGTCTTTTAGAAAAGATATAAACTTTTCAAAATTATATATATATATATATATAAAGAAAAACAGAAAACGGGTATAAAATATAAAAATGTTATTGACATTTATATAGTAGTATAGATGTGTGTGTGTCGATAAAAATGTATAACACCAGATTCCACACTGTTAATCTACCTATCACAATCCTCCTTTTCTAAGGTCTTGGGTTAACTGAGTGAAAGATGGGAAACTAAGCATTTAAAAGGTGGAGTTCAAACATTCACTTCAAGCAAGTTACCTATAAAAGACTAAATATTATGTTGGTGGATGACCTTAATTGCAATCCAGCTCTAAATTGTTTGGGCTATGAATTTGCAGAATGCATCAAAGTAGAATGTGTAATAGTGGCAAACCTAAATGCAATTAATCAAGCTGAATGTTGGTCCAATATTTCCTTGTGAATTTCATTAATTGGAGAGAAAGCAAAAAGTTTCTTCCAGCTTTATACTGTACAAAGCTCTAAAGCTCTACTACTATAAAAAGAAACGATTTTTCTTTTTCAACCTTGAAAGTATGAAGGAGCAGCATCAAATGACAAAGCAATTAAGGAAAAAGGACAACTGAAAGGCACCCATTTATTGTGGAGGAAGGGTTCAATTTTCCTAAACTTTGATTAGGAAGAATGTTATCAAAGATTACAGCCCAGATCCACTTTTTTTTTTCTTTTTCTTTTTTAATTGAAAACATTATTATGGACAGACCAAAGCCAATGAATTAAATATTAGTGCAATCAATACTAAATAAATAAATGCAAATATATATTTGACAATAAAATGCCTCTAGCAAACATAAGTCATTTTTCTGATTGAGCTCCCATAATATTTTCCTGGTCCAAACTCAAAAGTATGACATCATTTGAAACAAGAAATGTTGGATTTCGAAAAAAAACACAAACAGCTACACGAACAATTACAGTAAAAAGCAAGTGAAACGAAACCCCTCAAAATTGAAAACCGTTTACTCTATCATCAAGAAATTAAATAAAAAATAGAACTTGAAAAGTAAATCAAGCACAATCAAAATGGAACAGCCAAACCAAACCTAGAAAGCACAAGCAATTAAGATAGAAATTGAATTACCCTGTAGATTTAATAGAGAGAGAGTACCAGAGACAGAGCATATGAAGATCGCCTACTCCCGACAAGTAGAGAGAGAAAATTGAGTAGATAGAGAAAAGGACAAAAGAAAGAAAAGAGAGCCCCAAATTATAGTTGAATTATGAGAGAGAGAGAGAGCAATGGAGGAGGAGGAGGAGGTGGGATGTTTTAGGAAGATTGAATAAAAGGTAAAACTAAATTAATTAGTGTTTGGTTCAGAAGAGAGGTAACTTAGTAGAGATACAGTTTGTTTCGTAGAAGCAGAGAAATTTCATTCTTCTACTCTTCAAATTCCTCTTCTCCCGCCGGGAAACTAGAGAGAGAAAGTGAACACACCAACACTCCACACCTCATCATTTCATTTCATTCATTGGAGGGGAAAAAACAGGAGTAATACTATACTACTAGTTTATAACAACACACCCCAAAGCTCTAAATTATTGTTGAAACTTGAAAGATGCTCTCCCCCTCTCTCTTCCTCTCGGGTACTTCCTCTCGTCTCTCTCTCTCTACAATTATTTGGCTGCATTTGAATTCAGTTTGGCGTCCGTTGACACTCCTCCCCCTGCATACTTAATTTCTTGGTAATTTAAATAACCCTGAAATTTCCTGTAAAATTACAAAAATAGCATAGCATCAGCAAGCAAGGGAACTGGAGAAAATATGGAATAAAGGACAAAAAAAAAAAAAAAAAAAAAAAAAAAAAAAAAAAAGGTAATTTTAGCTTTTGTTGTTGTTGGACAAATGTTCTTCTGACACGTAGCCGACGACGCTACCCCCAGCTCTCACCTCCTTGCAGCTTATACTCTCCCGAGTGGCGGTGCGTACCGGAGGTGAAACTTAACCTATTAAACGTGAAGGAATATTCACTCTATATCGAAGAAGATAATATAAGACTTTTATGATTTATCGTCACCATTTTTCAGTAATTTTTTTTTTCCCACCGAGCACACACCAACTTCTTTGAACAACCATAATCCCTATCAGATACACTTTAGTAAAACTTAAATTTTAGTAATAAAATTTCTTAAAATGACCATAAAGATAAGGTTAATTACACTGACATCTCCTTAAATTTAGCCAAATATCATATTAAAATATTTTTTGAAAATTACTATCACTCAGAGTTATAACCGTTTTTCACTCACACCCAAGCATTACCTTTTAGGAAGTGTCAGACCACTTTTTTGTATGTAAAATGACATTACTACCCTTATGACTCATTTTTAACTTGAAAAATAATTAAAATGACTTGGATAACCTTTGATATATGATATATATATATATATATATATTAATAATTAGATATATAAATAGATAAATATTGCTTCAAATCCCCTCTCTCTCCTACTCACCATGACTCACTTTTGCACCCAAATTACTCTCTCTTACTTCTCCACTTCTCTTCTCTCCTTCTCTCTAATTGTCACCGTTGTCCTCACCGTTTTCTTTGGTTGCCTCACGATTTCGTCTTCCAATGACGTCAACTACTCTAATTGTGGTTGTATATTTGATGTGTTAATAATAAGACCACTCGCAATAGAACAAATCCTTATAGGATAAAGCTATATTGAGGGTGTCGAATCTCAAGAACTGCGATAGGTGCATTGTTAAGTATCAAGAATATTTTCGGTTTAACTTAAGAACAAAGAGTTTTTTTTTGTATTTTTACTTCTAATTGCAATGATATTTAAATTGAAAATAAACTAAAATTAACGATGAGAAATATCCAAAAGATAAGTATTAGGGAATTGACTTCACCTCTTACCTCATAACAATGCCCTGTTATATTCAATTTGGGGAAATTAACTCTATGTATAATTACGAATAATGTGGCTACAAGCTCATATTGATATTGTCAAGGAAATTCACATAATCAAATATTAAGTATATCTCATCTTCGGTTGGCACGAATTGTTTATCTAACTACTCTAAACTATGGTGTACTACAACATGTCTTCTCTAGGCATGGATTATCAAATTATATGATTATGTGAGCAATTAAAATCATTGCATAATTATCATTCCTATAATTACAGAAAATAATAATAATTTGACTTCAACAATAACAAAACCAATTTCTAAGACAAGTCAATGATTTTATTAAAACTGATTATATACTTTAAAGCCAACTGCATTATTATTACTAATGTAATTCTCCAAATTATGCAATTAATACACATATACAAAAAATTTCCCAAAAATAAATATAATTAAACCATGTTACTTGGTTAGGGTTACATCAATTTCGTAAGGAGTTTAGATAGCTTCAACGATGAGGAATACACCATCTCTATGGACTGCAAATCCGCTTGGATTCATCATCTTCAAGCTTCAAAATCTCTACAACTATGGTGAGAACTCTAAGACGCCAAAACTCTTTTAGGTCTCCTTTTTGTGTATTATCCCCTTCAATAGTTAGTAATCTACCCTAAATCAACTCCGAACAGGCCCTGAATATATGCCACAAACTTTGGATGAAGTTCGACCCGTATATGGTAAGAAGAAAAAAAAGTTCAGAATTCTAGCATCTTCCAGGATTACCATCTGATGCACTTACGATCGATCGTAGTGAGTATGTAATCGATCCCTCCGCTGTTGCATCGATTGCAAGGTCTGTGATCGATCTCTTTTAAAGCGAAACTTTAGAGTATTTTTGTAGATTTTCGAGAGGAATGCGATCAATCCCCTCAAGTTGGGATCAATCCCTTTTGTTGCAGGTTGGTTTCATACTCCTTTTCGAGTTCTGAATCGACCCCAAACAAGCCAATACCTTTTTAGGTCCTTAAAAACATCGTCAAATGCCAGAAATAGGTAGAATTAACCATTTTTTGCGAATAAATACCTGAAAGTATGTGAAACCAAAAACATATCATAAATACTAATACAAAAGTATCACTAAAGCATTAGCATGTGCAACTTTAAGGGCTCGAATGTGTAACATTTAGCGTTTATCAACCTGATAGGTAGTGTGGAGTCTGATAGATATTGTACACTAAGAACCAACTCCGTGGATCTGCCCCCCTACCCGAAGGTAAGGGTTCGGGGGCTTGCCCTCGACCTGAATTTTTTGGAGGTTAATTTTGGTTATTTCTGTACTTATTATGTTACCCTAGTACAAGGGTATTTATTCATTCCAAACTCTCTGTATCTATAGCCGTTTTTTATCATTATAGTGAAATCCATGCAACCCTTAGACGAGTTTAATATTGTTACGACTCAGTTAAGCTCTATAAAGATTGAGTTTGATGATGAGATTAAGGCGCTGCTTCTCTTATCTTTTTTACCAGAAAGCTGGAACGGTACTGTTACAGCAGTGAGTATTTCTTCAGGAAAATGAAAATTGAAGTTTGATGATGTTCGAGACTTGATCCTCAGCGAAGATATTCGCAGAAGGGAAACATGGGAATCATCTGGATCTATTTTCAATACCGAGGGCAAAGGAAGAACTTCTGAAAGATCAGACTCGAATAGCAATAAATCTAAATCCAAACATAGAAGCAAATCGAAAATTAGAACCTACTGGAACTGTGGAAATAAAGGGCATTTAAGGTTGAGTGTCGAGCACCAAAGAAGAAAAGCGAAGGAAAACAGGAATCTGTAAACACCATAAGAGAAGAGATTGTTGATGCTCTGATTTTAAGTGTAGATAGTCCGGTTGAGTCTTGGGTTCTAGACTCAGGTGCATCCTTTCACTTTACCTCGCATCGTGAAATCATGGAAAACTATGTTAGTGGTGATTTCGAAAAGGTTTATCTGGCTAATGATGAGCGTTTGAATATTGTGGGTAAAGGTGATGTTCAGATCAGGCAACCTAATGGGGCCGTATGGAAGATTCAGAATGTGAGGTGGCTTATGGAAAATCAAAGGGATCCTTGGTCGTGGCTCGTGGAAACAAGACATGTACTCTATACATGACAACAAACACCAAGAACATCATTGTTGTTGCTGATGATGGCGTAGATTCAAACCTGTGGCATTGTAGACTAAGTCATATGAGTGAGAAGGGGATGAAAGTACTTCTGTTGAAAGGAAAACTATCGAGTATTAAATCAGTTGGAGTTAGTTTGTGTGAGGACTGTATATTCGGGAAACAAAAGAGAGTCAGTTTTTCAAAGGTTGGCAGGACTCCTAAGACAGAAAAATTAGAGTTGGTTCCTACAGACGTGTGGGGGCCTTCCCAGTTTCATCTCTTGGTGGCTCATTGTATTATGTTACATTTATCGATGATTCTACAAGAAATGTATAAATTTATTTTTTGAAAAATAAATCTGAAATATATGATACGTACTTTCAAGAAGTGGAAGGCTATGGTGGAGAATGAGACAGGCTTGAAGGTGAAGTGTTTGAGGTCTGATAATGATGGTGAGTATGTTGTTAATGGGATCATAATGGAGAAGATTATTCCTAAAACCCCACAACAGAATGGGGGTGCAGAACGCATAAACAAAACTTTGAATGAGTGTGCTCGGAGTATGAAGATACATACTGGATTGCCTAAGATGTTTTGGGCTGATGTAGTTAACACTGCAGCATACTTGATCAATCGAGGACCTTTTGTTCCTTTGGATGGAAGCTTACCAGAGGAGGCTTGGAGCAAAAAAGAGGTAAATCTTTTCACATCTGAAAGTGTTTGGCTGTGTTTCATATGTACATATAAGTTCTGATGCTAGAAGCAAGCTTAATCCAAAGTCAAAAAATGTATTTTTATTGGGTATGGCACTGATGAGTTTGGTTATTGGTTTTGGAATGATCAAAACTGGAAGATAATTAGAAGCAAAGATGTCGTGTTCAATGAGAAAGTAATGTATAAGGATGGGTTAGCATCAGATTCTACTAGTGCAGGTGTTCATGCTGAAAATGATGAGTTTGTTAAGTTGGAGGAAATCTCCGAAGAAGATGTGCAGGGGAGAGTTTAGAACAATCCAGAAAATAGAGTTCCACGCGTGGAATAAGGCACACATATTACTGCATTGAAACGGTCCTCCAGAGTCTCCAAACCTACGCAGCGTTTCTCGTATTCTTTAAACTATTTGTTGTTGTCTGATGGTGGTAAACCAGAGAGTTATGATGAAGCAGTATAGGTTGGTGATTCAACCAAGTGGGAGTCAGCTATGCAAGATGAGATGGGCTCACACATGTCAAATCAGACATAGGAGCTAACTGAACTACCAAAGGGAAAGAAGGTTTCACATAACAAGTGGGTTTACAGAATCAAGGAATAACATAATGGCAACAAGCGTTACAAAGCCAGATTGGTTGTTAAGGGATTTCAATAAAAGCATGGTGTTGACTACACTGAGATTTTCTCCCCGATTGTGAAGTTGACTACAATCAGATCAGTGCTTGGAATTGTGGCTGCAGAAAATTTGCATTTAGAGCAGTTAGATGTGAAGACTGTCTTTCTCCATGGTAATTTAGAGGAAGATATCTATATAAGACAACCATAGGGATTCACAGTGCCAGAAAAGCAGGGTTTGGTATGCAAGCTGAAAAAGAGCTTGTATGGTTTGAAGCAGGCCCCCAGACAGTGGTACAAGAAGTTTGATGGATTCATGTGCAGTAATGGTTT